GTAGAGATGCTAAAGCAAATGGAAGAAATGAGGAGGTACCAGAGCTGAACGGAAAATTTCAAAGATTAGCTTGATTTTGCAGTCCAGGAGCAGAGGACCCTGGGACCATCAAGGAAGAAGAGTGGTGAGTGGGACCCTACCCAGAGAAGCAGTGATGTCTGAGATGGAGGCAGAGACGATGACATGGAGAGATGGAGCAGCTGGGGACTTTAGACACAGAGAGGGAAAGGGGCTGTGTGCTGACAACCGGGGGGCAGGAGTGTAGGACTCTACCCAGAGAAACAGTGATGCCAGAGATGGAGGCAGAGACAATGATGTGGAGAGATGGAACGGTTAGGGACCCTAGACCCAGAGAACAGGCTTGTGGGAGTATATCCTTTGATTGGTTGATTATGTATGGAGGGGATTGTAACCATGGCCAATGTAACGATATATGATAGAATGAATGTAAAGCTAATGTTCTTCCATCTAAACTATCACACAATTCACATTAAAACATTTTTAAAAAGGTGTTAAAATTGTCATCTTCTCAAAGAAAAAGATAAAGTAACTCAAGTAAAATTTTTAGTTTAAACATGATTCAGGTAGTTAAAACATTGTTCTGATATTTCCAGAATGATTTGGAATGTGGCATTGGGCATATTGATATTTGTACATTATCATAACATTATGGCATATATGTATGCTATATAAAAACACCTTGGTATCACAGTGGTTAAAACAGTCAGCTGCTAACCAGAAGGTCAGTGGTTGGCACCCGCGAGCCATTCTGGGGGAGAAAGATATGACAGTTGGCTTCTGGAAAGATTTACTGCCTTGGAAATCGTTTATGAGGAAGTTCTGTTGTGTCATGTAATCACTCTGAGTTTAAACTGACTTGATAGCATTGGATTTTTTGGTTTTATGTTGTATACATATCCATCTGTATGTGCATATGTATCTGTGTGTGTATGCCATAAGTGGTGATATACCCATCAGGATTTACAAGTAGGAACCTGTTATTCTGGTATTTCCCCCTATTTCATACCTAATTTTTAAAAGTAAACTTTTGAGGAAAAAAAGAGTAATCTGATACAATTTTATGAACTTGACCTATACCTATGGATGCAGTAGCTCAAAAGAGGGAACAAATCCTTACTGCGAGGATCTTTCCCACCCACTCCATACACAGACTAGACAGGGATGGGTAACTTGGACATTGGCTACCCAAAATGGGGGAGCTACAAAAGCAAGAAGTGACTGACTTACAAGCTTTCAAGAGGGAACCTAGGTCCAGAGGGAATGGAGGAAGGTAGAATCTCCACTGAGTAATATCCAATCTGTCTAGGTGGGGCTGATGAAAGGAAATGTGGATAGGTCTCTTGTGATACAA